CATGCATGCCTAACCCATCTCAAGACCTAGAAATCTATATTTTTTTTAATTTTAAAAGATGGATAATATGTTGTTTGCTCTGTTTTTATTTTAAAAAAATTATAAACAACACACTGCTAACCAACAAAAATGATGTGATGTTTATCTACCATAGTTTTACAGTTACCAGAAATAATTTTGGTGACTAGAAAATCAAGATCCAAGCTTTCATACTATAATAATCTAGATTTCAACTATTTCTTCATCTAAAAAATGAAAAGTAAAACATCCCATGAACCTATATAACCTTTTTTCAACTATAAAACACATGCTAATCACCCTAAAATCTCAAAATCCAACTATTTGGTTTTAAAAAAAAATATTGAGTTATGGTCTATTTTTTGACATCATTCAAGGTGCAAATCTCCTCTACTAAGTTCCTTTCTCAAAAATAAATTTATAGATATCGAGATTAAAGTCACTAGTTTCTAAAATCCAACCACTCAAAGCTTTCTATCTGAATAATTTTTCTAATGAATCTTTCCCTTCCTTAAAGATTATAAAATTAGAGACTTTAGTCATTGAATAATTTTCACATCATAGAATCAAAGAGGGAGGAATTGAAACATGAAGATCAATTAACACAAACTTTAGCCATTGAATTTTTAGAATAGTTTTAACAAGAGCTTTGTGTTCTGTCTTTGTGCTACATCAAACAATTAGGTGTTGCTGTTTTCAACTTTAAGAAATCAAGTTAGAGCTTAGATGGATACAATAAGCTCCAATGGATCATCTGTTGTTACGATCTAATATTGAATCGATATTATTAAAAGCCTAAAGCTAAAGAGTAAATGATGGTTAGATCAACAAAACATGATGCATAATGTGCTTTAAATAAAACATAATTGATTTGAATGTGGCCCAATGCATCTTCATAGGATGATGCATATATTTTCTCACTTTATGGATAGTAAATGTAAGATCAAGTCAGGTAAATGACAAGTACTATAGGCCATGAACATCATTGCAATACAACTGTAAGTTATGAAAATGAATTGTTAGCAAAACTGATGTCAGACTATGATGGGGATATTGGGGTAATGCATGGCTTTCCTTGTCCATTTTATTGCGGAAAAAAAGATCCAATAAATAATATTTTTTAGATATAAACATGCCATGATCCTCTTATATGGCTTCAATATCTGGGAAGAAACTCAACACACCTATATCTTTTACAACAAAATTTTGCTATAATAAAAAAATAACATTGTTAATAGAATAAACACTAGAGTCAGTTAACACATGTCATCAACATAAATTAATAAATAAATAGTGATAGATCTATAATGATAGACATAAAGTGAATAATCAGTCTTTGTGCCAGTAAAGCCAATGGCTTGCAGTTTACTAGTTAACCTAGAGAACCAAGCCCTTGGGCCTAACAAAGTCCATATAAGGACTTATTTAATTTGCAAACATGATTAGGCAACTAAGGCTCAATGAAACCTAAAGATTGAGCCATGTAGATAATTTTATTGAGAATACCATGCAAGAGGTATTTTGCTCATCAGTTTGCATTATATGCCAACCACATGAGATTGCCAAGGAAAGAATCAATTAGATTGTTGTTGGTTTGACAATAAGGCTGAAATTCTCGCTAAAATCAATGCCCTTTTATTGATGAAACTCTTTAGCAACCAACTTGGTCTTGTGCTTGTCAATTGTTCCATCAATTTTGCATTTAATTTGTACACTCACTTACAGTCAATGATATTGGCATTATATGGTTTAAGAACCAAAATCCAAGTGCCATTGGATAATAAGGCATCACAATCCTTGTCCATGGTCTCTAGTCAATATGGATGTTTGACAGCTTCAGAGTGGCAAAAAGGTTTTAGGTCATTAGACTAAAATATAGACATAAGAACTTTGAGAATAAGATAGCGAATGTAGAAGTTAGAAATCAATTTAGGTTTGTGAATGTTGTTTTTGCTGTGAATTATCATAAAATAGACATTGCGAGTCATTTAAATTTAGGAGAAGGATAATGAAAGTGAACGTTGATCTTTGAATTGTATTGCAGTAGCAACATCTCTAATAGGGGAAAACATAATAATATGAATAGAATTATTTAGACATGATAATGAATTCATAAAGAGAGGGCATGAATATGTCGAGGAAGGTGTAATACCTATAAAAAGTGCACTACCAAGATATATTTAACTGATAAGGAAGAGTAATAGAAGGAGTCTGATGAGGATATTGGACTAATGTAGGAGTTTGGTAAGGAAAAATATATTCATCAAAGATGACATGACAAGAGACATACATTTTATCAATAGAAACTTTAAAACATTTGTAACAATAATGGTCAATGCTATAACCAATAAATATGCAACTTTTTGAACAAATATTCATTTTGTGTTAATTATAAAGATGTAAATAAAACTAGCAGGCACATCCAAAAGTTTTTAAAAAATGTAATATGGTTTATAATGATGGACCATTTCATAAAGGGATTTATCATGAAGCATTAGGGTTGGTAGTCTGTTAATAATAAAAATAGCAGAGTGAAATGCATCTTCTCAAAAAAATTAGGGTAGATGAGAATGAACAAGTGATGTAAGATCTATCTCAATAATTTGCTTGTGACCTCTTTTAATGACATCAGCATGTTGATGCATATAATGATAAATGATTCTATGTTGAATGCCCTGATGGTGTAAATATGTGTTAAGATTGCGAAACTCATCACCCCAATCAAATTAGAGTGCTTTAATTTTGCTATTAAATTGATTTTCCACAGCTAATTGAAAAAAAATTAAATATCTAATAAGCATCAAATTTGAGTTTTAAATTAAACAACCATAGAAATTTAGTAACAACATCTAAAATGTTAATTTAATAACATGCACTAAAAGTAAATAAGAAAGGGATTGATCCCCAAACATCAGAATAAATTAACTTCAAATGTTTTGAAATAGACTTGTGCATAAGTTTAAAAGGCAAAGCATGACTCTTGGCCAATTGACAATAAAAACAAATGGAAGAAATATTATTTCTTATAGATAAATAAATAGCTTTATTGATGACAGGAAAAGAGACATGACTAAGATAGTAAAGCTAAAAAGAAACAAACACACGAACACTAGATAAATCTTGTGGCTGAAGATATGCAAGGAAAGTAGAAAAGTTATAAAGATCATTACTAAGTGGTTAATGATAGGGATATTCCTCAAGTAATACTTTACAAGGAAGAAAAAAAACATGACATTAAAAAAAACATTATTTTCAAGATAAAAACGATCAACAAAAATAATATTTTATGAATTTTAGGCACAAAAAGTTGCTGATTAAGAACAAAAGATTTGGAAAGATAAGAAAGAATGGAAGTGACATTCCTTACTATTTTTAGATTTGCACTATTAGACACCTGAATATAATCCTAGTCATCATAGTTATTCATGGAAATATAAAGATTGTTATCATCATTGGTAAGGTAATGGGTGGCTCATGTGTCGGGATACCAATATTTTTCATTAAATGGAAATTAAGCAGCAATTATGGCTTGAGGTTGACGAGGTTACTGATATTGATATAAATTAAAATGATGATAATATTTACTGGCAATATGGCCTTGTATAAAACATACATAATAGAAAATAAAAATGAACGAATATCTCTGTAGGAAAGTCGAGCACCTCATTCTTGACCACAATAAAGATATGGTTATGAATATGCATAGCAAAAGATGATTAAAATTGAGATGGAGAATACACTAAAGGTTGTCTAGAAACAAGATGGACTGAGGCATTAAATGTTACAGGTTGATTATTATGAGTGATACATGACTCACAAAGAAGAAGCAAGGAATAAAATTCCTCCAATGTAATAGGATCAAGACAAAAGGAGATCGTTAAAGCTAAGGAATCATATTCCTGATTAAGGCTAGCAAGGAAATAAATGAAGATATCATCACAGGTAAAGGGTTATCCAGCGAAAGCAAGTTTATCTAACAAACATTTGATATGAAGAAAATAAGAGTAAACATACATTACACATTTCTTTATATTAGCAAGTTGTATATGAACTTAGATGGTTTTTGCAAGATAGAAAAAAGAGGAGAAATAATATTTAAAGGCAAATCATACCTCGCAAGAAGTTGTACAGGATAAAATTTTAATGAGGACATCTTTAGTGAGAAAATAGTTAATGGTAGCTAGAATCACAAAAACTTGGTGCAACCATTAATTACAAAAAGAGTTATGAGTGGTAAAAATAGTATTGTCAATAGAAAAAGAAATAATAGATTCATAAGGTAATGGTGGTATAATACTATTGAGGTAGCCAAAAATATCTTGACCTTTGAAATAGGGTAGAACCTTGTGATTTCCAAACAAGATAATTTAAAGAATTAAGTTTGACATTAATGGTAATGAAAAGATTGAAAATTTTTGGATGAAGAGACTATTGTGGATCAGAAAAAAAAAAAAAAAAAAAGGGGACTGTGGTCTTATGAGCGACTTTAATACCATGTAAAATTTTCTTATACTTTAAAGTCATTACTATAAATAATGGTTTAGTATAATATATTATTATCTATTATAGAGTCTTTGTTAAATTGAAAAATATAGAATAGTTAAATGTATTTTACTATCATCATGTAATTTGAATATTTGAAAGGCTTGTAGTTATTTTTATAAAGCATTGGAATATATTGTTGAAGTTATTATAAAGTTTAGAAAACAAGTAGAAAAAGTTTAAAGGATCATAAATTAATTATTTAACAAACTATATTTTCAAAACATATTTAAAAGTGGGGTTGATGTTGGTTTTGAAAATATTTTTTATTTTAAAATATATTAAAATAATATATTTTTTATATTAGTCAATTAAAATATTCTAAAAAAAACTAAAAAAAAAATTATTAAAAAAAATCAAAATTTAAAGAAAAACTACTTGATCTGCTGCGAAGGGGCCTAAGTCGCTAGGCTGGGCCATAACTGGTGTGATAGTCCCTCCACTCCCTCTGTTTATTGAATTTATATTTATTTATTACCCAAATTACACTAATGAATCCCCCAAATCCCTCTTTTCTCAGAATCTAGGGTTTTCAAATTCAGAGCACCTGGATCCAAATCCAGTAAAACTCTAGCCCCCCTTTCAAAATTTAGGGTTCTAAGAGTTGCGGTTTCCTTTGATATTCCACGAATTTGCTTTTGGTTCGCAGATTAGGGCTTCGCTTGTTCTGTTTGACTCTCAATTCCTTAATTCGGAAGTTTTTTTCTTCTCTGGAAAGATTTTCTGTTTTCTTTGCGGCGTTTAGGGATTTGATTCAACTGAGAGTATCTTTTTGTTGTCGTGTTTTTGATTGACGGACTACATCGTGAAAATTTGAAATTTTAGTTTTTTGTTATAATGACTAAGGTTGGCGAGGAGGAAATTGTATATGAGAGTGATCCCGAGGAAGAGAAGCGATTGCTTGTAAGGAGAAGAAGAGAAGCTGCGAGCGACGACGAGGAAGGTGAAGGAGAAGAGAAGCCTAGAAATAATCGGAGGGCTCCAATTCACTCCGATGAATCTGACGATCAGGGTGGCGCTGCAGACTATGACGAAGACGAAGAAGAGGCATTAAATGAAGAGGAAGATGAAGATGGTGTTTTTGAAGATGAAGAGGAAGAAGAGGTTTATGAGGAAGACGAAGGGAAAGAAGGGAATAAGGAGGGAGTAGGAGGCAACGGCAATGCTGGGGTTGAGGTTAGGGAGAAGGAAATCGAGGGGAGGAAGGAGCAGGTGGGAGGAGAGGAGAAAGTGGAGGGGGAGGAAGGGGAAGAGGGGAAGAAGGGGAACCAGCCTTTTGCGGTGCCTACTGCTGGGGCTTTTTACATGCACGACGACAGGTTTAGGGACAGTGCTGGTGGTCGGCACAGGTATAACTGACATTGGTGTAGTTTTACGGTACAAGATATTTGTTTTGTTTAAACACCTTTGTTTTTCTTTTATTCAGCTGTAGTTGATTAATGGTAGCTTTGCTTAATTTCTAGTGTAGAGCTTGTTCAGAGTAGTATTATATGCTGGCATGCAAAAGCCTCTAAACTTTAATAGTCAGTTCCTTTTCTTCTTTGTGGTTTTGTAGTGTATGCTTAAACACGTATCTATATTTCCTTTAACTAGGGATCCATTGTTCTTATATCCTGGTGTGCAATTCCTTTTGCTTTATAATTCTAGACCACTGTTCAGGTAGATTAGCCTTACCTGGTTTATACAGAAAAACCAGGAAAAATGTTGGATAAGGAGTTGTTTTTCACATCTAGCTTTCTGCACCTTTTCTTTTTGCCTTTTATATCCATATGGCAGCATTTCCAATACGTCATGTTACTGTGCATTTCTGAATGAAAGTGTGCCGCCTCCTTTCACTTGCTAAAATAAGTAATTCTAAGATTAACCTGTACTTGGTTTAGGCGAACCTTTGGTGGAAGGAATTTATGGGAGTCCAAAGATGATAGGAAATGGGGGCATGACAAGTTTGAAGAGATGACATTGCAGGAAAGGCATTATGAACAGGTGATCATTTTATACAAAAATGTATTTTATGAGAGCATCTGTTTTCTTCTTTTTTCTCTGTTGTTCCTTACTGAAACTATACTAATAATAATTCAGGGAAGGAGGACTGCTAAAGGTAATTTTCGGGCCCGTGGTGGTAAAAGTCGAGGTCCAGAATGGGGATATGCCAGACGCAACAGGTCTAAATCATTCAGCGATGGTAACAATCAGAACCAGGCACCAAAAGTTGTGAGAGGGAGAGGACCCAGAAAGTTTGAATCTACTTTCAAGAGTCGCAGAGAGAGGCCTCCAGTGCAAAACAAACAGCCTGGGAAACCCCTTGAGAAACATTCACATGGTAGTTCAAATACAGAATCTGATGAATTGCCCGCTAGAAAACATTCAAGCTTGAGCTCTGCTTCTCCTCCCTTTTATCCTTCCGGATCTTCAAATAAAGACATCACTTCAAGTCAAAAAAGGGATATACACGGTGCAAGCACAAGCAAGAATCTTCGCACTCCTGTTATGGATGAGAATTTTCCTACGCAACAACACAGTGCATTGGTGCGGGGGAAGAATATAGCCAACTCTGTTTCAATTGACAAGCTTTATATTGATGATTCCATCACTCCGACAGCAGGAAAGCCTTTGAGCAATATGCAAATGCCACCTTCTGGATCTTCTGTGGTCAATTCTATTACATCTTCACAATCTAGGGCTCAAGGAAGGAGTGCAGCTATGTCAAGCCAGATGACTTACCAGGGAGCTCCGCAGCACAACCAAATCAACAAAACCTCTCCCACTGTGCCGATCCACTCTCTTCAGCGAATTCCTGCTCAAAACCATTTTCAACCTTCTGCCCAGCAGTTAGTCCAGCATCCTAGTAGTGATTCTCCAGTCTCTTCTCCACCAAAAACTGCTTTGTCACAAAATTCTTCTGAAGCTGTTGAAGCAGAGACTGCTGTGGAATCAAGTAAATCCAGAAATGCATTGGCTGGAAAGGGAAAAGGCATAATTCAAGGAAATGGAAGAGGATCTTTTCTTTATGGTGGGACACAGGTTGTGGGAGCCACAGGGAATATTGGTGTTGGGCATGGCGATCAGAACTTCTCTGGAACACCAACCTTTTTGCCAGGTACAATTTTTTTTTTTTTGTTCACCTTTTTTTCCTCTAAAAGGTAACAAAGAAGAAAAAACAATTTCAATGCCAGGAGCTTTCATCATGCTAGTGAGAGAGACGCCAATGCCAATGCTTTAGCCTTGCACTTTTTCTTAAATCATATATATGGGTTTTGTATTGTTTTTTTCTTTTCCATGTGTCTGGTATCTTAATGTATCCCTTGTAGCTATAGCTTTCTTATGATCAGCTGTTTTAGTGTGTCCGGACCATGCTTTATATTTTCAAGGAAGCTAAGAACTCCCTTCTGTATATTGGTGTCTAAATAACTAATTTTGTTACGGTGGTTGATTGGCATGCAGTTATGCAATTTGGTGGTCAGCATCCTGGTGGTCTTGGAGTTCCTGCGGTTGGCATGGCATTTCCTGGATATGTTGCTCAGCCTCAACTTGGCTTAGGGAATTCTGAAATGACATGGTATGCTGAATCTTCATTACATAGCTGACAGATTTTTGGTTTAACCTTGGATCTTGCATGGTCCAGGGATGTGCTGTCAATGTCCCATTAAGTGGCAAATTGATGCTTCTGATGAAGTCAATTGTCATTGGTGCAATCAGATTTTGTGATTCAGCTATTCCAAGAAATAAAAGTAAAGAAAAGAAACCAATTGCTTATTTTCCTCTTTTATAAACACAAAGGTGTTTTTAATTGTCGTGTAATAGTTTTCTATATATCTTGAAGCAAATTGGTGCCAGATGACGTTTATTGTAGGGGCTACTTCTGTGTTAAATCCATTATGTGTACTTTCTCTTTGGGATTTCTTTTCTTTTATATCATAACATGCAAGTAATGAATTGTTTTAATGATTTTCAGGTTACCAGTTCTGGCTGGTGCTGCTGGAGCTTTAGGGGCCACATATTGTTCACCTTATATTTCGGTTGATGGTGCTTATCATGCTCGCCCATCTGGGAAAACATCTTCATTGGGTTCTTCAAGGTTGGTAGCAAATTGTCATTGTTTTATATTTCTAAATGTTTTGTCGTTATGTGTAGCTCCTGCAATAATGGAATTGTTTTGCTGTCTTTGTGTTATATTTCTAAATGTTTTGTTGAATTATTCATCGGGTGCTTTAATCCATGTTTGTAATTTTTCCATAAAAAATTCTGCAAAACAATTCCATTATTGCAGGAGCTACACATAATGACAAGAATAAAAAAACAGATGTTAACAGAAGGACCCAATGGGGCAGTGGGTGAAACATTGGGGACCTAATTGATAAATTCTTTTATTTTGGGACTTAATTGAGAATGACTATAAAGGTTATGGACTAAATTGAGGATTTCTCTGTATTCTATCCAGCAAATACATGATGGATGCTAACCTTTTCTAAGTTTGGCAGTGTGATCTGCCTGTATTGTCTTTCCAATTTAGAACACTGTTTTAACTTTAAAGAGAATTTTGTAGCGGTAGGATGCTTAATGTTGTAAGCACTTTAGTCATTCCTACATGATTCATTGTTTCTATTTGTCTAAAGGATGACTCAAGAATGATAGAGTTCAGTTTGTGTTTTGTCATGTCAATTTATTTGGAACTCTTTTCTATTAGATCATTTACTTCCAAGATTTTGAAATTCAGTTGTAAATTGGTATTTTGCTGGTTGATTTATTATTTTTACCATTTAAAGTGTTTATGGGACACACTAAAATTAATATTACATGATATCAATTTCTCTTAGTCTTACTTTCATTTCTGTGTTGATGTTCTTCTCTTAGCATGTTTTTGCTTTCCATTTTGCTTGTGCTAAGTTGCTTCATCTTCATGATTGAAAAGGGATTATTTTGTTATACACGTAGCCAGACCAGTTCTAATGTTTGTTTTCCTTTGCAGCAAAGAAAGTAGTACTAATATACCCCATAATGAATGGAAGAATACACAGAGATCTGGTAAGGAACAATTTTAATGTTTCTGTTGCTATAACTTTGATTCTGTTTGACTTAAATTTTAACATACCTTGTCATTGATTGTTATTGTTGATATGAAACATTGTCTTCTGTGCAGAATTTGCAAGTGATGAATTTGGACAGCGACAAAAACCTCGCAGGCAAGTTGAATTTGTGAAGCTCTTTTGCCTTCTGTTACCCCCTTGCTCTCTCCTTGGTTCTTTGTTTAGGTCATTGATGATTTCATTTTGTGTTTGTAGATACTCAGAGATGGATTTTAAGCAGCCAAGTACAAGCACTTAGATGAAATGGAGTGTGTTTGAATAAGCAGATAAAGGTTAAATTCTGCCCAGTCAAATTTATTTGTTTGTGTTGTGAGATTCTTAGATGTGATTATATATGTTGATGCAGGCCTTTATGAGGCCCTTTGTGATCTATAGCTTTTATTCTGGAGGGCTTTGGGCCACAGTATGTCCCAGGATGTTCTAGGTAACCCACTATTTTAGCCTCTGATTATCCTTTTCACGTGTGGTCGTGTCTTGCTATTTTTTAAATTTTAATTTATTTAAAATAAGACAAAAGTCAGATTATTTCCTCCTTTCATCTTCTGAACAAGAAACACAAGTACCTTGCAATTTTGCAAGTTAAATTATTATTCTCCACCTAAGGTGCCCTTTTATTTACTGTTTATTCTCATCACTACCCTCTGGTTTGTGAATCGTGCAGTTATGTAACAAAAAACCTGTTCTTGCTGCAGTCAATTGGAGAACATAACTGTGGCTTGGCAGGTGGCATTTTGTTGTTTAAACTTGTGGTATGAATGCATCAGAAAGATTTGGATTCTTATGTTTTGTTGGACAAACGTATATTTATTATGTAACATGATGTTTTCAGGTTTTCTTGTGGCTTGGTTTATTAGTGAAGCTTGTGAGAAATGTATGCGGGCTTCTCCAAAAACTATATACGAAAAAAATTGGTAACCAAAAAAAAAAAAAACAAGAATTATTGTGCAGAAGGTGTTTGGTCGGTGACTTTGAGTTTTGCTTTTACAAAGCAGCTGGTATTTTAGAATTTCTATCCGTCTTTTATGTATGTGGCTGGTTGATCAGTAAAGTCTGGTTTCGAGGGTTCCATTTCTCTACGCTAGATTTTTTTGTTTGGTTCAGGACTGCCTTCCTGCTGAAATCATGCGGGAAGAGATTATTTGTTTAGCGGACCCGTATTTGTGGGGACAAGTAACTCTTCTAAGCAGTGGAATGAGGTTATGATTTAAAATATTCCGTCTTTTTTTATTATGACAAATAGCAATAATGAGATTTATGTGCTATATTTTCCATCTATTTAATCATGTTGCTTTATAAGTTCTTAACTTTATTAATAATTAATGTGTGGATATTTTTTTTTAATTTCATCTAATATTTGTTTAAAAAGTTTCGTAAGTTGTATTGAGAATTGCAGCATAATTTTGTTTATGTTGTGTAATTTTATTTTAATTTTAATATTCAATATTATATATGTGGAAAATGAGGCTTTGTAAATTCTTTTTATTTGTTTTTATAAATTTATCTTAATTTGTGTTAATCCAAGTTGTTTTTATTTATAATTTTATAGTTTATTTTTCAATGCTAGGTTAGTCAAAAATTAAAATTTATAATTTTTTATGAGATTATACTAATGTTTGAGTTATAAGTATATTAAGTTAATTTATGTTCATTCTAGTTCTTTTTCTTAGTTTTTTTTTTAATTAAGTAGTTTTTTAATTTGAGTATTTTAATTTTTTATTAACTTTTTATATAGCTATTTTAATTTTATTTTGATTAATTTGATTTATTTATCTTGAGTTATGTTTTAATTAATTTTTTAAAAAACTTTACATCTTAACAATTCAATTTCTTTTTCTATTTTTATTCTATTCTTCAATATTAGTACAAGTTGTTTAGATTAGTGTTTTGTGTTTATTTTTCTAGTTTTGTATTATATTTTAAATTTTACCATTTAACAATTCAATTTTTGTTTTTTTGCTTAGTTTTTTTTATTTTATATTTTAATATTTGGTTATTTTAAAAATTATGTATCTTAATTTATTTTTATTTTTTCATTTTCATTTTAATATTTAACATTATATTTGTTGGAATTAAATTTTTATAATATATATATTTTTTTCTCTTTATAAATATATTTATATTTTTATTATTTAGATTGTGAGTTTAATAAGTTGTTCTAAGTTTAATAGGTTGATATAGGTTATTTTATGATTGTTTTTTTTTAATTAAGATTTTTTTTTATTTTTTAATATTGAGTAGTTTGAAAATTAAGTAATATTTTTTTATTTGTTTGTTTTATTTGGAGTTATTTTAATTTTATTATTTGAGTTATAATTTTGATAAGTTGACTATTTTTTTTTAGATCTTTTTTAATTGATTATTATTTTTAAATTGGACTTTATAGTTTTTTATTAATTAATTTGAAATAAATTTTTATATTTTATTCTTTTTCAAAAAAAATTTCTTGTTTTGTTGTTTTTTTACAAAAAAAAAAAAAACGGAAATTTGCTTTGTAATCCGAAAAATATGATTAGGCTTCAAACTTCAATCATGAATAGATAAGTATCTAAAATAGGAAACATTGAGAGGGAAAAAGATAAGATGCTATTACTATGATTTTTGTTATTATTATTATTGTTGTTAATTTTTGTTATTATTATTATTGTTGTTTGAAGGGCGTGTTACGGGATTGAGTGTAGGAATTCAGTAATTCTCGTGACAGATAGGTCATTTCATAATATATCAAATTGTAGAGCATCAACATGCCATGGTGGGACCAAGACTATACAAGAGTTTTTCCAAAATTAGGGGGAGCTCGCCGGGGGAACCAGAATCACAGAAGTTTTTACTGAAAAATGACTGATATGTAGTCATTAAATGTTTATTTTTTATTTATTTAACAAGGATAACAAAAAATTTTGGGGTCAAAATTTGTAAATAAAATTGTTATAGATATTACATTGAAGATTAATTGTTGAAAGTATCAAATATGAGATAAAATCAAATATAATCTAATCATCAAGATTTTAGGTTTTTTTTTTTTTATCTTGTCTTTTTTTCAATCAATTATTTAATGATTACAATATTTTATTCTATCTATGTTAAAATTTTAGATAAGTATTTATCCTTGATGCTTTACATTATTAAATTATCATGTAGTTTTTTAATTTAATATATTTTATTCAAGAAATAAATAAGCTAATATTAATTATAACTAAAACTGAATTCTGTTTCACTAGAGAAACAACTATTATATATTATGAGTGAATTCATTATGGATTGCATTGTTATGCACTACAACAACTTTGTAAATGCTTTCATTATAAACTATACTGTTTGGTGGGGGTATATGTAAAGCTGCAACCAGTAGCTCTAAACACCAGGTTAGAAGGATGATAGCCAGGGATGCGAACACCTAATGCTTGCCTACCAGGCCCACTTGAGGTGAGGTCTGCCTGCCATAGACGCTTGGACTGCCTCATATGTGCTAAGTAGACTAAGTGCACACATAGCGCTTTGGATGGTTGTTAATGTGTTAGGCAGACCAAGCACACATGTAGCCCTTGGGCTAATGCCTATACGAGAAATATTATTATTTTTATTATAATTAATAAAATAATCAACAATTATAAGTATTAATATAAAAATTATTATTATTTATGCCATAATTGTTATTATTTTTCTTCTAATTCAAAATATTCATTTAAAAAATATTATTATTTGTACTCTAAATATTATTATTTTTCTTATAATTCAAAGTATTTATATCAAAATATTATTATTTGTGTTCATTATTATTATTTTTCTTATAATTTAATGAATTCTCATCAAAGATATTATTATTTTTTATAATAATTCAAATTTTTAATATAAAAATATTATTATTTATGTTATAAATATTCTTGGAATTAAAAATAATACTATTTGTGTTTTGAATATTATTATTTTTGCTATAACCAAAAGCATTAATATTAAAAATTTTATCTTTTGTGTTATAAATATTTTTATTTTAATAATAATTAATAAAATAATTACTAAATTGGAAGAAAATCATTCTTAATATTGAAAAACAACCCTAGGTTTGATTTGAAAGTTAAAATTAAGAATTACTACTACTAATATCATCATCATCTTTAATAAATTTTAAAAAACTATACCATAAAAAAAAACTCATATGGAGACACGTGGTGTTTGTGTTGCTATCTGTGTGCTAGGCAGGCCCCAGTGCACATATGGTGCTTGTGTTGCTACTGGGCTAGGTACATCTCAACGCATACTTGGCGTTTGGGTCATGCTGTCGGACCTCATGTTGGGCCTGGATGCGTCAACATCCAACTTGATGTTAAATCTAGATATGGTTGTGTCCAACGCCAAGTTATATTGAGACACGTCCAAGCCCAATCGCACGTTAGGCTTGGACACAACCATAACTAACCACATGTTCAACCACGGCGTGTTCACGCCCAACCCCATATTGGCTCGAAACATGTTTGCGTCCAACCCTATGTTAGGTCTAGACGCAACCATGTCTAATGCTATTTGGATTTAGATGCATCCACTCTCATCCCCACGTTGGGCCTGGACGTGTCCACGCTTATCCACACGTTGAGTTTGGAAGCAACCGCGTCCACCTCTATTTGGACCTCAATGCATCCACACCCAACCCCACATTGGGTATGGACGTGACTGCGTCCAACTCCATGTTGGCTCTAGACACATTATTATTAAATTGAAAAGATATTATTATTTATAATTAATAAATTTGAAATAAAATATTATTCTTAATACTGAAAACATATTATTATTATATTATAAATTTTTATGATATTTTTTATAAAAATAAAAAGTGAGCTCGCAGCGTAGAATTATTAAAAATATTCAACAATTCTAAGTATTAATATAAAAAATATTATAATTTGTGTTGTAAATATTATTATTTTTCTTATAATTCAACATACTCATATCAAAGATATTATTATTTTTGTTATAATATTATTATTTTTATAAAATTATTATCACTATCATGAAAAAACCATGTAGGGACACGTGACATGCCAATCACACTGGTGGTGCTTGGGTTGGCTGCTGTGTACTGGACAGACCCCAATACATATGTGACACTTGGGCTACACCAAGACCCAACTATCATTGGGTTCTACAGTTGCAGAACCCAGAATAACCTTGGGTCATTGGTTGTGCAGGACACAAAATAAATTTAGGTCTTGTCAATGATGAATCTAAATAGTCTTGGGTCCTGTAATATACAAGACTCAAACTAACCATAGGTCTTGCCAGTATCAGTATTTTAATTTTTTATGAAAATAAAAGATAAGTTTATGATATAGCACGGGCTATCTAACTAATACATGTGATATGTGATATAGGAAAGTAGTTAGTTTCTTACAAGAAATTGACTTACTTTTGTTATTAAATTTTTTTGTTATTTCACATTTGAATCCATAACTTTAACAAGAATTTAAAAGGAATAATATATATATATATATGGGGAATTTTTTAGAGTAATGTTTGGTCATTTTATATTTAATATATAGGAGGATAATTTAATTATTTTTTAAAATTTTAATATTTTTTTACCCAATATATAAATGATAATTTTTTAAACTATAACAAGTAATCACAAATGAACTAAGCTATAAGATGTTAAATATATTGTTTTTCAATTCAAATCTATGTGCACGTAGAGTTGCACGTAGAGTTTGATATTTATACGTGCACATACATTTTACATCCAAATATGTATTAACAAAGAGCAAAAGAAAATATGAATTCAATGTTCACTTAGTCACGTAACACTATTTATTAAAGCAATGTTTTGGGTTTTTATTTTTTTGCTTTAATTATTTTTTTAATTTTATTATTTAATGTTGAGTTTACTAGTGTTTAATTTTACAAGTTATGTTGATTTACTTTCAATAAAATTATCTTAGTTTGATGACATCGATTATGGGTTTGGCTAGTTGACATGAGATTTTTCTTTGATCCTTTCTTTGATGGATTTTTTTTTAATTTTATCATTTAATATTACGCTGAATAGAGTTTCATAATTTATTTTAATGTGTTTTTTATAAGATTATCTAGGTATTTTATAACTCGGTTTGTAAGTTTAGCAGGTTACCATGTGTTGACTCAAGCTTTTATGGTCATTTTTTAATTGATTTATTTTTCAATTTCATCTTTTGATATTGGATTGATCGATAATTGGGTTTTATAAT